GTTGGTGTCACCACAGCTGGTGCCACCACAGTTAATGCCACCACAGTTGGTGTCACCCCAGTTGGTGCCATCACAACTGGTACTACCACAACTGGTGCCACCACAATTGGTGCCATGACAGTTGGCGCCACCACAACTGGTGCCACCATCCCCTCCCAGTCCCCCCAGTTTGAAGGGTCGTGTGACCCCATTAACCCCTTCCCTCCCGCAGCCTCTGAAGGCCGATGGCGCAGGACAACGCCGCCTTCTGCGGTGTCCCCGAAGGGGTCCCAGATGAGGAGGTGACACCCCCACCGGTGCCACCACCACGACGAAGACAACGAGGAGGAGGACAACCCGGTGGCCGCAAACGTCAACGTTACGTGGAGAAGGACGGGAAGTGCAACGTGCAACACGGGAACGTGCGGGAGACCTACCGCTACCTCACCGACATCTTCACCACCTTGGTGGACCTCAAGTGGCGCTTCAGCCTCTTGGTTTTCATCTTGGCTTACGCCGTCACTTGGCTCTTCTTTGGTCTCATCTGGTGGTTCATCGCTTATTGCCGAGGAGATCTGGATCATCTTGAAGACCACGCTTGGACCCCTTGTGTCAACAACCTCAACGGCTTCGTCTCCGCTTTCCTCTTCTCCATCGAGACCGAGACCACCATCGGTTACGGTCACCGCGTCATCACCGATAAATGTCCTGAGGGGATCGTCTTGTTGTTGCTTCAGGCCATCTTGGGTTCCATGGTCAACGCTTTCATGGTGGGTTGTATGTTTGTGAAGATCTCCCAACCCAACAAACGAGCTGAGACCTTGGTGTTCTCCTCCCACGCCGTGGTGTCCTTGAGGGATGACCGTCTGTGTTTGATGTTCCGCGTGGGTGACCTGCGGGACTCACACATCGTGGAAGCCTCCATCCGTGCCAAGCTCATCAAGTCCAAGCAGACACAAGAAGGAGAATTCATCCCCTTGGACCAGACCGACCTCAGCGTTGGGTTTGAGACGGGTGACGATCGTCTCTTCCTGGTCTCGCCCCTGATCATCAGCCACGAGATCGACGAGCGCAGCCCCTTCTGGGACATCTCGCGGCACCAGCTGGAGAAGGATGATTTTGAGATCGTCGTCATCTTGGAAGGGATGGTGGAGGCCACAGGTAAAGGGGACAGCAGAGGTGGAGGATGGGGAGTGCGTGGGGACAACTCATCTCTGTGGGGACAACTCATGTCTACGGGGACAACCTCATCTCTATGGGGACACCTCTGTGGGGACACCTCTGTGAGGACACTTCACCTCTGTGCAGACATCTCATTTCTATGGGGACACCTCTGTGGGTACACCTCATCATCTCCATGGCTTTATGGGGACACCTCATCTGTATGGGGTCACCTCTGTGGGGACACCTCATCATCTCCATGGGGACACCTCAGCTCTATGGGGACACCTCTTTGGGGACACCTCATCTCCATGGGGACACCTCACCTCTATGGGGACACCTCATCTCTATAGGAACACCTCTGTGGGGACACCTCCATGGGGACACCTCATCTTATGGGGACACCTCTGTGGGGACACCTCATCTCCATGGGGACACCTCAGCTCTATGGGGACACCTAGGCCACAGGTAAAGGGGACAGCAGAGGTGGATCACCTCTATGGGGACAACCTCATCTCCATGAGGACACCTCATCTCTATGGGGACAACCTCATCTTCATGGGGACCCCCCATCTCTATGGGGACAACCTCATCTCTATGGGGACACCTCTGTGGGGACACTTCATCTTCATGGGGACCCCTCATCTCTATGGGGACACCCCTGTGGGGACACATCTGTGGGGACACCTCATCTTCATGGGGACCCCTCATCTCTATGGGGACACCCCTGTGGGGACACATCTGTGGGGACACCTCATCTTCATGGGGACCCCTCATCTCTATGGGGACACCCCTGTGGGGACACATCTGTGGGGACACCTCATCTTCATGGGGACCCCTCATCTTTATGGGGACACCTTATCTGTATGGGGTCACCTCTGTGGGGACACCTCATCATCTCCACAGGGACCCCTCATCTCTATGGGGACACCTCATCTTTATGGGGACACGTCTGTGGGGACACCTCATCATCTCCACGGGGACCCCTCATTTCTATGGGGACACCTCTTTGGGGACACTTCACCTCTGTGGGGACACCTCATCTCTGTGGGGACACCATCTCCATGGGGACACCTCATCATCTCTATGGGGACCCCTCATCTCCATGGGGACACCTCATCCACTCCATGGGGACCCCTCATCTTTATGGGGACCCCTCATGTCCATGGGGTCACCTCCGTGTCACCCCCCACCC